AAATTCAAAATATATCATGAATAAAATGAGTTTGGTTAACATCACAATACTAAAATCCTCACACACTTATAGAAGTGAAATCATTGCCAATCTGCCATTCATTCTCTTATTCCTTTCTCTCTCCCTCACTATTTCCCCACAAATTAATGCCCGAAATTCTTTTGTATAGTCTGTGACACAATCAATTCCAAAAGAAAATTGCTCCCACAATAGCAAATTAACCTGCCCAACACAAGTGACTAAGAAATAAACTAGTTTTCCTCGTTTTTATTAGAACTAAAAAATAAGTTACTATAAAAAAAGAAGTTATTTGGAAATTGTGATTGGCAACAAAAAGAAAGAAGAAGAAATTTGGAAAAGGAGAGTAAAGTGCAATAAATACCACAATACAGAGTGACGTACAATAAAAGCTCAGTAAACTTCACACTTGTAGAACTACAATTATCATACATCGAATGAAAGATTTCTTCGAACTATTCCAGCATATAAATATGGGGTTAAAATAAACGGTTTTCTGAGCTTTCCTTTTCTTTTCTTTTTTTATAAATCAATGGCCCCACCATTTTTTTATCTCAGTAGGAATGCATTTATTTTCTCAAAGGAGAAAATCATTGCCCATAAATTTGAACGATGAAAATTACATTTCACAATAAAACTTCTACGAAATAATAACCGAATTAACAAATATTTTAAGAAAAAAATATTTCTCCGCTCAATGAAAATAACTTTATCTCCGGTGTGTTCAAAACGACATCGTTTTGAGATTATAAAATTAAAAAATTATAATGATAAAGACTAATATAACCCTGCAATATATTAAAATTACAAAAATACCTTGATTTCCGTCCCAAAGCGACGTCGTTTTAAACTCACCGGAGATAATTTATCTCCGTTGACCGGAGAAATCCTTTATCCATATTAAATTTGTAAATATTTTAGAGTAGATTAAAAGTGTATAAATTCCAGTGATAAAGACGTGTAACAAATATAAAATGGGTTATGTTTATCTCATTTTACATGAGATAAACATCTCTCCTACACACACAAAAAGGGTTGGGTCCCACCACTTTTTTTTTCTCTCTCCTCTTACATGTGGGTCCCACTTATACTTTTATTTCTACAACATGAGGTAATTCTTTTCCTACAACATAAGAAAAATATATCCCATATAAAATATACGAAAAGAAAGTAATTTACTCTACTTTCTTGTCATTGTACTTCTCTCATGCTGATATTAAAACAACGAAGTTGTTACTTTTGATATTGCCCACCATCATCTACATTCGTCTTTCAAGATAGAGGCTATGAAAATCGATCCTGCTAGCCCTCGAAAGCTCTTTTCTTTACGGGCATCAGGCACTTGTTCTTAAGTCAATGCGGTGTCTATGTTCATCTCATAGCCTGATTGTTTTTACGATTTCTCCAGCACAAACGACCAATTCAGCATCACGAGACAAGTTTCGATAAAGATTATATTTTCATATTTCATCAGCAGACAGATTAAAATACACTTGCACAAATAAGCGTTTAACCATATTTGACAAGTTGGCCAAACGAATTGTTCACAAGAAAAGAGAAGCACGAAGGGGCTACCTAGAATTAGCAAACACTGCCTCATTCCGATTCCCAAAAAGACCTAGATCTACATTTGAACAAACATTTTAGTATGACTTGTCGGATATTGCAAAGCAAGACAAACAAATAACTTCAATAAAACGTTCAACTTTGCTTTCATTTTACATTTAAAAGGGAGAAAACTTCACAACGCGGAAATGAAATATAGATATCATCATCAGTGGGTACTCAATTTTGGCTTTTCATAATAATTAAACGCCATCCAGTGAGCACCAAGAGCATAATATATGCGTTCGTAATTCCCCTCGTATATATGCACACGTAACAGTTATTGAAATTTTAATGAAAAACTCGACTGTCTTGAATTTATGAACAACTTCTACCATACATTTACCCTTTGGGTTTGATAAGCAACTTCAATACAACTCAACAGTTGTAAAATAGCATTTTGAACGTAGCATCCCTTCTACAATCTTGTTTTGCTACGTAGTAAATATGCATTAAGGGTCTTCAAGTTTGTATTCATTTTACAACACCATTACAAATTTTGAAGGCTTATGAGAAGTGAAAATAAGTCAAACATATATCTTGAAGCGGCCAAACCAAGGGCAGTCTGAAAAGCTAAACATCTCGCTAAAATGCAAAGCAGGCTTCTAAAGGAAGCCTCAACCCCTAGTTCTATTCAGCAGATTAAGAGCTACAACATGAAATGTAACAGTTAAAAAACATTGCATTATTACAATAATTTCTTTTTTCCATCACACCAAATCACAAGGTGAAAAAATCATGAAATAAGAACGAGTCAAGGGTCCAATCAAATGACAGTCATAAATCCAACTTACCTTCAATCAAAATCGTAAAAGAGATTTTTACCTCAACCTATCAATATCCATAGTAGTCAAAATCGACATCTTACCTTCAAGGAGGGAAACACTTAAACCAGTGATCATAATACAGATAAGATTCTACCTAAGATACAAAATTATATTCATTCATGGCCAACATGTATGTATGTATGAAGCAGGTTATTGTTACACCAGTGTCAAAATAAGAGATCTTACACTCATTCATGGCCATTGATCCACTTGTATCCAATTGTTCATATAACTAAAAAACAATCGTTAGATGTAAGTGGAATCGACACCCAAGAATAAGAGTATAACTTATACTGGTATAAAATGATCCTAACCCTATATATATTGGGGTAGAATTAACTTACATTGTAAGAACAAGATGTCATACACTTAGTAGTTATATGAGTTATTAGATACCAGTAGATTAATGGTTTTCATTGAATGTAAGACGTCTTATTTTCACACCGGTGTAGAGCCAAAGAACAAGGGTAGTGGCCAAACCAGTAGCAGCAGAGAAGAAGAAAAAAACTAGCCAAAACAGCAGTAGCGATAAAGAAGAGGGATTCAGCATGGCTCAAAATGAAGAAAAGGGGGGTTCGGATTCAGCCGAAGAGAAGAGGAATGCAGCAGCAGCATCACAAAGGTGGGCTAGGGTTCATGATTTTGACAACCATGTCAATAACCCATGGTGAATTAGAACTTAAATTTCTAGACACAGGAGGTAAATCAGGGTTGTCTCATGCAACTGAAGTAAACAAGAGGTTTGTACCTCAACTTATCTATGTCCATGGTGCTTTGGAACTTTGATTTCTATACACAGGAAGCAAATCACAGTTTCATCAAGCAATCAAAGTATCAATATTCTGGTAGACGTTATATTTTCTACGCCTACTTTTTGACAAAGCAAGTATAATTAATTATCCTTTTTTTAATTGAAGGAAGAAAAGAGCGAATATGCAGGAGGTAATGGATATCTACCAAAGAAGTTAAGATTGAGAAACAGTGAGCAACAGCACTTTTCAGATCCCAAAATAAAAAGCTTTTAAGACTGCAAAAAGGCCTACCAAGTATGAGGATAATCAAGATAAGAAAATAGACATAATATACTGCAACTTACCTTCCAGTCCACCAAAGTCACCTATTTTATTTGAGGATAATCAGCTACAAACAAGTCCATTATCATTATGATTAAGCCAAATTCATCTTTTACTTCAGAAGCAGGATTTGCGTTGAAAATTTAACACCCATAAAACCCAACACGAATGAAAAATTTGGTGTTCTGGAACATAAACATGCAACAATGTGCAAGTTTGAAAAGAATGCAGACCATTCAAAAGGAGGTCAAAAAACCATGTTGCCATCCGAAACATTATGAAACTAAACTGCTTCAGCCAATAATTGATATAAATGAAGTATTTTGAAAGTGATAATCAAAGTCCTCACACGTCCACTCAAGGGTAAAGATTTTCTTTTGAAGTAAGTGACAAATAGATCCTTTGAGAAAAGAGGAAATAGAGGAACAAAAGAAAGAAAATGTGCAACTTAATGCACAACAGAGAAAGCACAGCACACAAATATGGTTGAAAGCAGAGAAGACAGTCCGTGTACTGGCGAAGAAAAGTTCTCCACACATCTCAAAGTCAGTTTTAGATAAGCATGACCATGACAAAAGAGGATTGGAAAACCTCGGTTAAAATGGAAAAACAGCCTTGAGAAAAGAGTTCTCTCTGTTGTGCTTTTCCTTAGCAAGAATGGAGAAAAGAAAAGCTGCATCAGGTTCCTATTTGAGGAATTATACCACATAAAAACATTTCTCAAAATGTGGGAACTTTACAAGAAGGTCAAAATCAAACTTAAATCAAAAGCATTTGTTTTCTCCCTTTTAATTTACACTGATTTCATTATTGGTGCATGTTTACATAATTATGGCTGTCAAACCTGCAAAATAACCACAAAATTAGGTATACATACTATTAACAGAATCAAAACCAAAAACTTGATAAATTGATTTCTAACCAATATTGAAGACAAAAAGCACATAGCATATTATGCACGTTTCATTTCAATCATTCTGTGTTCAAAAAGGAATGAAAGATCAAGTATGTAAGAAATAAATAAAAAAATTAAAAACAAGAGAAAATAATATCCAATAACCATAAAAAACACAATCAAGCAACTCTTGAATACCAAATTTAAGAACAATGGTTCACATAAACAAAGTTCAACGTATAATTAGCTCAGCACCCGAACTCCTCATAATACTGTTAAAACTATAATTTACAAAACAAAAACATAGGACTTTTTGAAGATAATTTAAAAGTCAAAATACTACAATATTTTGAAATGGTACTAAAGATGAAAAAGTAGGTGGCGAAAACAGAACTCCTTTTGGTAATTTAAATATTCTGATCATTGTAGTAAGTAACATTTCATTATAAAACTGCCAATTGCATCAGCTCCTTAAACTTCAGAAGAATCACCAGGCCAGTAATAAAAGACTGATGCACTTATGTGGAATCTGCAAAAGGAATAAAAAGAAGGGTCCAAAAACCAAACTTCAGTAAAATTGGTGAGAGCTATTGAAAGTCAAACACCAAGCTCAAAATGATTTGACAATTCAACATGCTGGGAATATCACAAAGTTGTTTTACAAAGCTTTTTTTTAATAAAAAATTAAAAACTGTGTTGCAAACATTATCCAACAACAATTGAAGACCACTGACCAACTAAATATAGGGCAGCAAAAATAACGTTTCAGTGAGAAGAAACCACGGTAGATTATTTTCCATAAGTCTTAGTAATGAACTAAACAGGCCATAAACATTAATTGGAATTTAATAAATGAGTAAAACTTGATCTGTTCCTCATCGCACATGAAAGAGAGAACATAATAAGTACATTAATGTTGGTGCAAAGACTAGCGGTATATACAGAAAGAAAAATATCTGAACAACAAAGCCTACACAGAATCGAACAGAAACTAAAAGCAACATTTTAACAGAGTGGCTTCCAAAAAAGCACACCATTATATGCAATAAACTCAAAAGATTCATTGATTCATTTACTCCCAGAATTTCAGGTCACAAATAATGCCAAATCTCCTCTATTCTCGTGAAATTGACAAACAGATATCCGGAGAGGGTTAGACACAAAGCCCACTGTTACATACACAAGGGGCTACATTAATCAGTCTTTTTGCCAATCTCTACAAAATTAACACTGCTAGTCACCCTAATTGCCAATATCCAAAACTTAAGTAAACATTTATCAGCATTTTGTTTCTATAGTCAAAATTCAAAATTTTCAATCAAATTATAGCTTAAATAACATTTCTTCTATGATCTGAATGTATGCTACTTTGATATTTGATCTAAAGTAATAAAGCTATATGTTTTAAAAAAAAAAAAAAAAAAGCTACCAAAAAATTGATACTACTAAACTCACAAAAGTTGCAACTATTTTAAAAAAAAGTCCTCCAAATCACACATGAACCAATCAGAAAATAGGAACTCCAACAGACAAAACATACTAACAAGCCCATAACCGCTCCACAAAGGAGGAGAGAAAAGATGGGAGAGGAGCAACCACAAAGGAACAATGAACATGGAAAAGAGAAATCAAGGAACTACTGCTTGTTTAATTCAAAAAAAAAAAAGGCAAGGCATAAACAAGAGTGCTGATGAGAGAAAATCCACATAGATCATCTCTGTCCAACTCCAATGCTGGCATGTTCCCTGTCCACTATCATTCTTCATCCTCAGATACTTCGAACTCCTTATGTACCTCATTCATCTACCTTACTTTCCAAAATGATTATGTACTTTCACATCATTTCATCACCTTTCACATCTTCGTCATCTAACATAATAGTTTTATACTCTATGTACAGCAACACTGATGGAAACAACTACAGTCAGATATAACAAATATGAGCGGACAGCAAAACACTATGTTCCTGACAGACAAATACAAATTCTAGAGCGCAACAAGAACAGGGAACGAAACTGGAACTCAGCAAGGCAAAAGGAAAAAAGAGTCAACAATTTTAGCTCATGCTATGCAATCAATGTATCCTATATAACACCCTTGAAAACTTAGTATTAAAATCACCCCGATCAGACCATAAAAAACTATCTTGCTTTCACTTTGTCTAAAATCATCCCTGTTTCTCACTATAAGTAAAAAAAAAAAGTATAGTACCCAATAGATAGAAAAACAAGCTAAAGAGGAAAAGAAGCTAATGTTTTCAGGAAAGAATACGAACATATACACCAATCCATACCTGCCACGTACCTAGTGCCCAATGTAAGGTGGAACGCCACCATATTGGCCTCTTCCAGAGCCACCCTGCCCTATCTGCTGATTCGGATATGCCGCCTGCAATCCTACCTGATTCCCATATCCTCCAATAACACCGGGGCTTATATTTGGCTGCACATTGTAACCACCCTGCACTCCATGCCCCGCAGCTGGAACAACGGGATTAACCGCCGCACTTGTTCCGAGACTCCCCAACAAATTAGTAAGCCCCAATGTACCCTGGGACGCAAGCAGTGCAGTCAGCGCTTGCCCGAGAGCTGGATTCAGAGCCTGCGCAGCAGTAGCTGACTGATTAAACCCGATTGCTGGTCCAGCCGGAGCCATCAAGTGCCCCACCGGTTGGGCAACACCACCACCACTACCACCAACAAAACCAGCACTATCATTTCTCTGAAATTGGGGCCTCTGACTCTGAGGATTCACGAGCTGCTGCAACTTCCCCTGCTTGGGACCATCAATTGCCCTTTGGCAGTGCAAAATATGGCCCTCGAATTCCTTGTGAGGCTCCTCCAAGGCCCTCTTCGCACTCTCCGCACTCTTGTAAACGAACAAGCAGAACCCTTTCGGTTTTCCAGTGACCTTATCAAGCCCCAACGGCCCTTCCTCGATCTCACCGAACCGCGAAAAGAAAGCAAACAGCTTCTGCGGGTCCAATTCCGCCCCAACGTTGCTCACATAGATCTTCCTCTGCGTGTACTCCGAAACTCCAGCCGAAAAAGCTGGTTGCGCCGGCTGCTGCAGCTGTGGCACCGCGGCAACCGGCTGCTGCTGGACCGGGCCGATCGATGCCAGCTGGCACGCCGTCATGCGGTTGCCGATCTTCTTCTGCGGCTCCTTGAGGGCCTTCCGCGCGCCGCGGCGCGTCTTGAAGAGGATGAAACCGTAGCCCTTGGACTTTCCGGAGACCTTGTCTGTCACCGCCTTGCAGTCCTCGATCTCGCCGTACTGGCTGAAAGCGTTGATTAGTGTTGCGGCGGTGGTGTCCCATCCGAGGCCGTGCACGAAGATCTTCCGGTGGACGGCGTCCCCGTCGGCGACCTTGCGGATCCGATCCGCCACGTCACGGTGCTTGGTCGCCGCCTCGCATAGTAGGTTCATGATTTGTTCCTTGCCGAAGGGTTCTATAAGCTTCTGAATCGGTTCCTCGTCTTCTTCTTGTTGTTGCTGTTGTTGTTCATCATCTTGTTGTTGTTCTTCATCTTCTTCTTCCTCTTGTTCGACCTCTACTTCTTCTTCGACTTCTTCGTATTCTTCTTCAGCTGCATTGTCATGTTCAGGTTCCAATTGAGGTTGAGGTTGAGATTGATGCTGCTTCAGTGGGGGTTCAGCGGTTTCAGTGGATTTCGGTGCGAGCTTTCGCTTCTTCCCCATGCTCGATTAGGGTTTCAGATTTCAGAATCAATCACAATTAGCGTACCAGACCACACTGTAACATATTTTTTATTTATTATATCACCATGCTAGCGTTTTCTTAACTACTTTTTTTAGTGTCTCACAATATCTACAAATTCCTTTCAGTTTCTAGCTATTAAAAGGATCCAATTGGGGCAAAAAAATTAATTTATTGTTTTTTTAATAAAAAATTATGAATAAGTAGTTGTTTTGAAATTAATTATGAAAATATAGCAGTTAAACATGCCCCATAAGGGCGTGACCGGTTGGAGAGAGACACGCCCAATGTTGGGTGTGACCGAGGAGAGAGACACGCCCAATGTTGGGCGTGTTTCACCATGTGCTGCCACGTGGCACAAAAGCCAACAGTTTGACCATGAAACTTTGGAAGTCCATAACTTTTGACTCGGGTATCCGAATTAGGTAATTTTTTTTTTGAATCCACATAACTTTTCGAGATCTACGTAATGACACCTCATTTGGCATATTTTGTCTCTCACAAAAAAATTGAATTTACAATAATAATACCATAAGATCGTTTAAACAAAAATTAATGGACAGAAAACCACTGTTATGATTAGAAACATTCATAATAAAGATACTTATGATTATGGTAAGTTATGATAAGGTTAATTATGTATGTTATTGAGATATATATTAAAATTTTGAGTGAAGAATTTTATGAAATTTATAATTAATAAAAGTTAACATCTGTCGGTGACAGAATATCAAATAATTTATATTAAAAAGTTAAGTGAGTGCTTTTCGTTTTATTTTGATTTTTAAGTTTTTGTTCGTGATTATAAAAATGTCAGATTATTTTTAGTAATAATTAAAAGGTAACAAAGTCATGTCATTTTTAATAATTATGGTATCATTGTTGTAAATTCAATTTTTTTTGTAAGAGACAAAATAGGTCAAATTAGGTGTCATTACGTAGATCTCGAAAAGTTATGTGGAATCAAAAAAAAATTACCTAATTCGGATACCCGAGTCAAAAGTTATGGACTTCCAAAGTTTTACGGTCAAATTATTGACTTTTGTGACACGTGGCAGCACCTGGTGAAACACGCCCAACATTGGGTGTGTCTCTCTCCTCGGTCACGCCCAACATTAGGCGTGTCTCTCTCCAACTTGGTCACGCCCCATGTGGGCGTGAGTCACGCTTAGGTCACGCCCAACATTGGGCGTGTCTCTCTCCAACCGGTCACGCCCCCATGAGGCGTGTTTGACGATTATATTTTCGTAATTAATTTCAAAACGACTACTTATTCGTAATTTTTTTATTAAAAAAGCAATAAATTAATTTTTTTGCCATCCAATTGGTCCCTGAAATAACAAAAAAGGGGTCACGTTAGTCCTTCTATGAAGTCCACCGTAACAGCCAAACTAACGGTGCCTATATGGCACGTTAGTGTGCTGACAGAGCTTGGATGTGGGACAGCATGGAAGAAGAGACGACGTAGTTTAAGTACCTTTTAATTTTTTCTTTTCTTTTCTTTCTTCTTCTTCGTTCTTTCTTCTTAACAGACTCAGTGAAACTTCACCCATTTCCTGATTTCTAATCTCCTTCTGGAACAGCAGCAGTGGAACACTAGCAGCACAAACTTACCTTTCTCTTCCTTTCCTCAAGAGCTTCTTCGTTCAATAGCTTAACTTAGCATCTTCTATCCTTCCTTCTAAAAAAATGGGGATTTAAACAATGCTTGCTCAATGTTTTTTTATGCTGATTCAAACCGAACCAGTTTTAGTGGTTTCATTCAGGAAATCGGCGAACTGAATTAGTTTTATTTTTTTGAACTGATTTTAGTTCTGAACTAGTTGAGGACCAATTATAAGAGGAAAAAAATACTAATAGTTGAAGACTAGTTCGCTTGGTTCTCTGAACAGGTTTAAACGAAATAGTTCGATAATAGTTATACTTAATAAGTGCATTCTCCTTATGTATTAATATTATTATACTTGCATACGGGTAATAGTTAATATTACTAAGTACTCCAGCTTTGTTGATTACTTTGTACTTCAATCTGATTCAACATACATGCATTTTATAACATTACATATTTATGTTTGTAATGATCATGACTCTATTCTTTACCTTCCTTGTTTATTGATCTTTTTGTCAAGCTAATGATGTGATTTCGTGTGAGATGACTATTGAATAATATTAGTTTTAGAATGTAACGAAATAATGAAACTAATATGACTGTATTAGTTTCCATTTTTCAAAGTATCAGTCAACTTGTAGAGTTGCTTTACTATCTTATATTGCAAATAATCACAGAATTATCACTACTTGCATTTTACCCTTTTATTTTAACAATAGAAGAGAGTAGCTGGTTGACACTTATCTGTTGGAAAATTACTGCCTATATTTAATAGTGATTGTGTACAATAATGGCGCATTTTTTCCTGGTGCAATTTAAATCAGACGCAGGTTCCCTTGTTGAAAGTGACCATTCTCTTTTCTATCTCTCAGTGTATCACTGTAACTGTTTTAACTCTTAGATTATACAAGGTATTCTTTGAAATTCAAATTCAACTAGTAAATAGTTCCATTTTCAAGCCTAGTTTAGCTTTCCATAGTTTCAGCTAAGAGCTGTAAGACCTTGGGTGATTGCCCTGATTCATTGTAGTGAATTTAGCATTCAAAGAACTTTCAGCAAGGAAATGAAATCTTATATCATGATATATCGACCATGCTTCTATATGGAACAAATTAACCTTACTCATTTTAGGCCAACAAAGATGAACTACTGCTTACTGAAAATCAAAAGTTAGGTTACCCAATGATAGAACTTAAGCAATTTAAACCTATAGCATGTTTGGGAAACAAAGCGGCTACAAACAGAAATTACATTTCAACCAACCAGAATGGTAAGTGAAAAAACACATGCTCTGAAAAAAACTGGTATACAAGCCGTCATAGTTTTATAATGATATCACCTTACTTCCTCCATGTACAATCATTGAAGAAGCATTAGGTTTTTGCTGTCAGCTGGGTGAAGAAAGCTGAAGATATAGAGGCGAAAAAAAATAAACAAGCATGGAGTGCTTGTTTCCACCAACCCATATCATAACCAAAATAATCATTATCTGCACAAAATAAGACTTTCAATACATAACAGTTATATTGTATTTACATGACCTCCCTCCGAGCCTGTGTCAGGGATGATGCAATGCAACCTGTTTTTGAGTTTGATTGCAACCATCGCATCCCCACTGATCTCTGCTGTGAAAGATCTCGACTGAATTTTAAATAGCCAAATGGGAAAGGAAACATGAAACTCCAGCATTTTTAGCTTCATTCATTAAGGATTTGAATGGCTATATATATATATATATATATATATATATATATATATATATATATATATATATATAGTACTATATGTCTATGTGACCATGAATGTCTAAGAAATGGTATAACAGACCTGATAGCTTAGGGACAGCTCTCCAGCAGCATTGCCCATTAGTGAGGATGAAGTTAATGAGCTTCTTATCTTCCTCTGCAGTCCATGGCCCCTTCTTCAACCCAACTTTGTCACAGTATGATTGCCTTCCTATGTTTTTTTAATTAAAACAGAAATGCCACAATCCTATAGAGAGGGCATGTGACCTCCACCACCGGAGTCACATGCCACCTCATCTGGAGCCAAAGGAAACCGAGATTGATCCACGTTATGGTGTTGAGATTTTGTTTTTTTTTTAATGTAGATTTTGAACCTTCAGGTCAATAAGGAAAAAAAAGAGTTTCTTAAGTGGCTCAAGGGAGATTGTCCCAGAAAGAGATGTTGCTGCTGTTCCAGAAAGAGATCAGAAACCAGGAAATGGGTGAAAGAAAGAAGAAGAAGAAAGAAAAAAATATATATTAAAAAGTAACTAAATGACTTCGTTTCTTTTTCCACGCTTCCCACATCCAAGCCGCGTCAGCACACTAACGTGCCACATGGGCACCGTTAGTTTGGCTGTTACAGTGGACTTCACAGAAGGACTAACGTGGCCCTTTTTTTGTTATTTCAGGGACCAATTTGGTCCTTTTTAATTGCCAGGGACTGAAAAGGCCTTCGTGGAAAAAGGATATTTACTCTTTTCTTAATGAATGATGTGGTTAATTAGTGTATTTTAAAAACAAAATAAATTATATATAAAATTAAGGGGAAAATGTTTGCAATTTTAAATGACACAACTTACATCCTTTCACTCTCACAAAGAGGTGGGACCCACACTTTTATTTTTTTTTGTCCACTATCTCTCCTCCTTTATCTATCTCTTTCTCTCACTTAAAATGACACAACCTTACATCCTTTAAAATGACACACATTTTACCCTAAAATTAAAGATTAATGTTTATCACTTATAGATATAAAGTTACGGGAAAATATTTTTGTAGTTATTGCAGATAAGTTATTTACATTTATTACATTTATTCCCAAAATGATATTATTTTGCGATTGAAATATTAAAAGATTATAATTATAAAGACTAGCATAACCTTAAAATAAATTAAAATTACAAAAACACTATGATTCTCGCACCAAAACGACGTCGTATTGGGCTTACTGCAGATAACTTAACTTATCTGCAGTGACTGCAGAAAAAAATGAACCTATAAAATTATGTGAATTTTTTTTTTTTGGAGTTACCCAACCCTAATTATCTCTTTGAGACGAGTTGGCTCCCTCCGGTATCCCCACGAGCTTCGACTCTTTGAGCTGGCTATGGGAATAATCCGGAGTACGGGGGAACAGTGATGGCTAAAGGTTCAGCCCCCTCCCCAAGAATTGAAATTTATATGAAAAGAAGAGTGAGAGAAAAAATATAAATTCCACATATTAATAAAGGTAATATTTTTCTTATGTTACATGATAAAAGTATTATCTTATACCCAAATAAATAGGAGAGAGAAAAGAGTTGGAGGTGAGGAAAAAACATTTGTGACTCATTTGAAAAAGGGTTCGCTTTTTCTGCAGTTACTGCAGATAAGTTATCTGCAGTAAGCCCAATACGACGTCGTTTTGGACGGAAATCGTAGTGTTTTTGTAATTTTAATTTATTTCAAAGTTATAATAGTCTTTATATTTATAAT